AGGTAATTCTCCGATAAAAAAAAAACTGGATTTTGTTCGTTCTATTAGACGATGTACATGTATATGGGTGGTATAACTTGATTGAATTGGATATCATGATATGCAGAAAGGGGGATACAATTGAACAAAAATGGCAGCATGGAATGACTTAAATTATAATAACAAATTTCATCCTTATCTTTCCAATGATTCAATGTCTGATAAAGTTGCCAATTATTCAACTTTTTCATTTGCAGAAATTTAAAATTAATTTATTACAAATAGGCTCAAGAGATAAACACAGATAATTAAATCTCTCGAAAATCATGCCGTGTCCATGTATATTTGTCGACTAACTAGTTATGTAAGGATTGAGAAATGTTTATTTCTTTGTAAAAAAAAATATATATATTTATTTTCAATGAATTGATTTTAAGATTATTCTGACAACAATAAGAAGTAAATAATAATTAAAATAAGATTTTCCAAAAAGGCGTTAAAGATCTAAGTACGGTTTATCACAATATTGATCGCGCTATTTGACGAGAACTTTATATTGTTCGACTTACTATTTTGCTTGTTTACTAGCGATAATTAGTTCGTTCGGGATTCTATTATGTAAATTGCGCTTTTTCATTTTATTTGAATTTTGATTAATAAAATATGGAAAACAAACAGGGAAATGCTTATTTTACAAATAACATTCCGATAAAAACTTACAAAACGAAATTTACACGATTCTAAACGCACGATCTCGCGCGATTAAAAACGCACACGATTGAGTCTGATACACGAACGATCTTGCACGTTAAACGAACGATCACTCACGATACATGAACGATTCGACACGATTGGTTTGTCAACAATAACGTTCCAGCCACTGTAGTGGCAATACAGTGCAATATTCACTTTAGAGCTAACCATGCTTCAATAAATTCTAATGTACTCGCTGACAGACTCGAACATTATTCACCAAGCACATTGGCATCACATGTTTGGGCCATTAAATTTTTCAATAAAAAATTTTGAATTTGCCAGACCCATCTAAGAATTTTTTTTTTTGGTTCAGAAATCAAAAATCATGCCAAAGAACAGCCTCAAGACTCAAAATAACGAGGGAAATTCGGAGGGAAATTCCTACAAAAGTTATAGAAACTATACGTCTTACAAGGTCTACTTGGAATAACCGAATTCTTTTAAGAGCATTAGATTGGGAGAATTATTTGTCAGGACACTGCAATCTATGAATCAAGTGTTTTTAAGGTCAAACATATACATTTTGAAACTGGGAAAGGAAAATTGAAAATTGTAAGTTTAATTTTATGTCACACACAAAAACTAGCAATCTGGTCAGTCAGTTACCATCTACCTAGAGGCCCAGTCTGAAAAAGATCTCTGTCCTGTGTTTGCCCTTTTTGAGTATATGTGCCAATTTAAACATTCAAAGGGGACCCCTTTTTCAATTAATTGATGGCACTCCAGTTTCACAGTCATTGGTTTCAAAACATTTAGGTGCAAGTATTACATTCATGGGTTTGAGTAAAAAATTTACAAAGGTTATGCTTTTTGTATTGGGGCAGCTACTCATGCAGCTAGGTTGGGTTCTTCGAAAAATGCAATCCAACATATGGGTAGATGGAAATCTAATGCAGTCAAGAGATATATAAGTACAAGATCCTTTACTCTTTCTCTCCAGTAGTTTGGTTTTTTTTTTGTGTTTTTGTTTCTCCACAATTCATTGAATTGATAAGGTATAGTCTACCACCCTCTCCTAATGATAACAGTACAGCACAAAACATCTGCTTATAAAGGTCGTCCTGCAATCAATTTTGTATTGGTCAAATTAATCTTGTCATCCTCATGTAGGCTGTCCCTTAGTTAACTATAAATGGGTCAGATTATGCCTGTCAGGTTCATGTAGGTATACCCGTTGTCCTAAGATAAGCTGTAAATGGGTCAGATTATGTTGGTTGTGTTCATGTAGGTTGTCCCCAGTTAAGCTTTCAATGGGTCAGATTATGTTGGTTGTGGTCTTGAAGGTTTCCCCAGATAAGCTGTAAATGGGTCAGATTATGTCTGACATGTTCTTGTAGGTTGCCCCCAGATAAGCTGTAAATGGGTCAGATTATGTCTGACATGTTCATATAAGTTGTCCCTAGATAAGCTGTAAATGGGTCAGATTATGTCTGACATGTTCATGAAGGTTGTCGTTAGGTCAGATTAAGATGGTTCAGATGAGGTCTGTCATCCCCTTCCCCCTACAATTTATTACCATAGAGTTACCTTCAGTCATCTGCAATTGATGATTAGAGCGTAAATAACAAATTGGAGCATGAAATAAAGGACTCGGCATTTGGAATGTTTACTGCAAATCATTTGTATAGACTAATTTGCTGTTTGCAATGTAATTAATTAATTGTAATTAACCATTGCCGATATGTTGTTTTATTACATAAATACAAATATTTTAAACCTTTGTACTAGAAATATTGTTTATCATTTATCATGATTTACATGTATATAAATGCAATTAAAATGTGGTAAGTTACAGGGGTTTGCTAGCCATCATTTATTATTCAGAGCGAGAATCTTTTCTTAAACATATATATTAAGATTATTAAGGTTTTTTTCCTATGTTGTCCATGTACGTGGGTTGTTTCCCTTGGGTGGCGGAAAATCCAATGTAGTTGGATTTTTGGTGGCCTATTGTTTGTTGCCACCTCATTTTTCAGCTTAAATGTTTGATATATTTGTGTTTTTTGAGTATTGTCATGATGTTATTTTAAGTTTTGGGAGATCCATAACAAGGTGTAGATACAAATTGTAGAAAGTCATATGATCTCCCAAATTTCATGTGTTTCATTTGTGTCATTAATAAATGACATATTTACAACAATACTCATTCTTGGTTTTCATTCAATCTGAAATATAACAGAGCTGCGGGAAACTTGGTTTTAAATTTGCACTATTATCATATGGAAGGCATAATGTAATATTATTGACAATAATATGTTTTATGCATACATATATAATTTACCACTTTCTGTGGTTAGAATGTAGTGATTGTAGTATAGTTCATGTATATATCAGGTTTCAGAGCTAGGACGTTATATAATGCATAGTCTCAGGTTTTGGGACTTTGCGTTGATTAGGCGTGAGCTAACGTCGGAGATATCACGTGATTGTTATCGCTGGTGGATGCTGCAAGTGTTTGTACACACCATTTTTTGTAGAAAAACATACCCTCCACCTCCACGTACAACTGTCCCTTAGGTTAAACTTTACTTTGGGATGTATTTTGATAATTTCTTTTGACTTGTGGCCTATTGTTTGTTGCCACCTTATTTTTCAGCTTAAATGTTTGATATATTTGTGTTTTTTGAGTATTGTCATGATGTTATTTTAAGTTTTGGGAGATCCATAACAAGGTGTAGATACAAATTGTAGAAAGTCATAGGATCTCCCAAATTTCATGTGTTTCATTTGTGTCATTAATAAATGACATATTTACAACAATACTCATTCTTGGTTTTCATTCAATCTGAAAAATAACAGAGCTGCGGGAAACTTGGTTTTAAATTTGCACTATTATCATATGGAAGGCATAAATATATTTATCATACATTAAAGATACCAGGCCTTCAACTATTGGGAACAGTCAATGCAAAACGTTAACTATCAGACGCTAAACATGTTAAAATTGCTATAGTTCAATTTTTTAGACATATTGCAATGGTTACAGTAACACATATCGAAGAAAATTTCCCTTAGTTTTATTGAAAGTGTCAAATACTTTTCTAATAGAGAATTTGGGGGAAAACTACGAGACTATGTATGCCAAAGCTCCTAAATAAAATTTCAAGTCTTTACAGAGAATTAGTCTTAAATGTGTAATTATGTTTGTACAGTATAAACATACTCACCAGCCAGGATAAAAAGATAAGTTCAATTTAAAAATATTGCTGCTTCGAAATATTCGTATACTGTATATGTTTTCCAAATGTTATTGGAAATGAAACTTAAGTAATTGATATGTTCTGTATAGGGGATTAGTTTCACGGGTTGTAATTTTCACATTTTTTCCTCATTTAACACGATCGCGGTTTATTGAATTCGCGGAATTGGTACATGTTTATAATAAAAGTTACCTTCCTTGTCTTTATTTAACGAACAGCAGAGTATAGTTTGATATAAAATAACTAGATTTAATAAATAATTGACAAGTGTAGTTATCAAAAGTCTTGATTATAAACGTCGAATGAACTTTATTTATATGCTATCTATTACGATGAGTGAACACATACACAACCCCAAGATTTTCAGAAAGCGGCAAATAACCACTGGACGGTAATGAGTTAATGAAGGTCGACAAAATAGTATCCTTCCACATCTTCAGTACGTTCGATAGTTATTTGAATGAATTTTTAAAACCAAAATATCGATAAAAACTAATATGCATGATAAAGCAGGTAACAAATACACGTGGTAACATTAGTTACGCACGGTAGACAAAACCCATGGACCACGTGTTTAACTGATGAAACATTTTTTTAAAAATACAGGTTATTATCTGCCTGTTTGATTTAAACTATAGCCTGCTTATTAAAATAATTGAATGACGAGTACTACTCGTAATTACTGAAATGATTATTTACTGCACGAACATGTATATAAACCTACGTTATCTTACTAGTTTATTCTCATATTCCCAAATGAAACATCAATTAAATTCTTCAGAATTATTTAAAGTAATTTATTATATTTGTTAAAATAAATCTTATTGTTGATTTTACATGCACAAGTAATTGATAGGATTTACAATGTTAAGGACAATTTTAAGTTACATTTTCAAGTACACTTGATAACATTTTAGTTTCAATCTCATCGCTACATGCACACCGTAAAGTATTAAAGATGAATTTACGGGCGAATATTTTAATTAATATCATTAATGATTAAATTCATGTTGTAACTTAAATTTGTAAAATATCAACGATATTTGAAATCTTTGAACTTTTCAGGCGGATGTGCAGAGTTTAACTATGGACGGGGAAGTATTCAAATACATCAAGCTTATCAGTGTAAAACATGTCTCGGGAAAGTCTACAATTCTACAAATGCCTACAAATGTAAGAATGATATTTTTTGTCAATTGTGTCACTCTGCAGCAAATTAATACTTGATATCGCGATTACTTAACTTAGCGGAACTCTTTGGCGAAGGAGGTAGGAATCGTCTGTTGGGTGGGGGCAATGTGCTATTCAATACAGTGCAAAATCGATCATTGTAGCATTTATAAGGACAGAGAAGTAAAAAATCTTGGTAGAATACCACGCTAAAAATCGCTGAACCAGCCTAATATATTTTTGAGAGGAGCCAATCCTAAATTGTCACATTTTAACGATATTTTTAATTAAGCTGACTCTTCTCGTTAAATTTTCATTGAAAATCGTCACATTTTTAAGCAGATAAAATATTCTAAACTTTCCTTATTTGACAATCTACTATTTGGAGTTCAATATCTGGCAAAACATCGTGATTTCGGCATTAAATCGTTCGAATCATTCGATTGTCACTACTGTAAACAATGTCATTTGCCCCCAGAAATAAAGACTTTTCTCGACTCCCCCGCAAAAGAGCGGTAGTAAGTTAGATAACTGCGAGGTACTCATTGGTAGTCGCGATATTACGTATTGCCCACAAAGACATTCTGTTATACCACCTTAGAGAAAAAAATCAAATTGATACATGACTCATGAATTTCAGACAAAGAATGCTATGAGTTTCAAACGCAGGAGGTTAATATCATCACTGAAAACAGTCAGCAAGGCATTCGACCATATCTGTGAGTTTACTTTTTGAACAAAGTACTTTTTATGATATATGTAATATAAGAATTCCCTGACTAAATGTACTTGCGCTGTTTTGTTCTATAAAAATATTCTAAACATATCGATAAACATCAATCACATATAATTACAATTCGTGCAAACAGTTGTATTAACTCAATATAATGATCTTTACTAGATAACAATTTTGACCCGAAATCAATATTGGTCTTGATACATGTACCAAATGATATGCAATGTCAATGTTAAACTGTTATAATTTTGCTTTTTTTCAAGTGCAAGTAAATAGTTAATATTAAAATTGAAAAAATAAAAACAACTTAACTTTCTCGATCTGGAATGTACAAATTGAGAGTGAATATAAACTTTTAGAAAAAACGTATTTATCCGTTCAGTCAAAAAATAAAATTATGTTTTTACCAAGATATGTCTCGAGGTTAAGCCATTAAAATATTAAAAGAGCATTTTTTTTTCAAATACTTTGTGTTCGATCCACTTTTAATATTTTTGTAAAACTCAAACAGATTCTAATAAGTTATGATATTTTATAAAGATATGGGTACAAATTTTAAAAACAAAGACTTTTACGTTAAAGGATGCATATCAAAAACTGAAAAGATTCTGAAATAATTCAAAATATGCATTTTGTCTAGTGTAAAAGTTGACAACCTTGCCAATTCGGACGATCGTTCAGCCCATTCAGACCATAAGATGCAGACCATACTGCTGACGGTTATGTGCGTAGTAATTAGTTGAATACTTTTAATACTCATCATGGGTGTGATTTTTGTGTCTCCGAGGAATTGTTCATGTCAACGCATCGAAGGTAAATCTCTGTTAATTAAAGTATATGTACATGTTCTTTTATTAATTATGTCGTGTTTTTATAAGCAGGTTACGTTTATTTTACAATGAGATGCCTCATAAAATCGTACTTTCGCAAGGGCATACACTTAATAAATCTTAACCATTTTTTAAATATAGATCAAGGATATTTTTCTTAACTTGAAAAGTGCTGCTGCCTTCTTTAAATCGAGGGGTGATTTTATAAGTACACAAAATATTTGGTAAAAGTCAAACATATTTCGACATTGGCTCATTTACCTGAAATGTTAACTATTAAAACGCGAATTCTATGCAAAGCAGCAGCACTTTTCAGAAACTACAAAGTATGCAGAAACAATTAATACCTTGAATTTTTAATTTCAACTAGGGTATGCCCTTGTGATATTGAAATTTGTTCATGACCTACATTCAGTACACGCACTATGCATTCACCACGTGACTGTCCATCGATGGGACCAAACTTCATACAGTACATAGTGGGTTATACTATGCTATTTCCATAAGAATTTGAGTTAATTCTGTGATAATAAAACAGCTTAATTAAAATAAATTCAGTTTTAAAAAGAACCCCCTTTTTTGCACAACTATTCTCCGTCGATTTCTCATAGTAGGCCTTAACAGTGCTGCGTAGTTTTATCAATTGCTCTGAAATACATTCATAAATCAGTTTTTGTTTTACAGTTTGGCTTAATAACAACCTTTCTTATATTTGTATATATATTCAATGATAAAAATCCTTACTTTAAGCATTTTGCTGGTATATCGATATTACAAAAAGGTATTCCATACGATATTTCTTTTCATTGTATTGCAATATACCGAAATTTCGATATTTTTGCCCAGTCTTATGTCTTAAAAACTATACTCGATTTTATCTCTTTTTTTAAATGCTGGAAATAAGATGTCGTGCTTATGCATGTCAGTTTAATCTTACAGATACATACATGTAGTCACTTATCTCCTCCCCGCAATCACACACCCGCCAAGCCTCATTACAACATTCATTAATTTTATAATGAAACGGTTCTGGAACCCTAGAAGGCAGAAAGCGCTTACACTTATCTCTATCATGTAATGTTTTAAATGAAACGAAATGCTTGATTTCACGAAAAAAAAAATAATGATCATTAATAATCAGTTGCAATGTCAAACATCATCTTGCGCATTTCCTTGTAGGATCCCAAGAAACAGGAGGAAATTCAAACAGAGGACAAAATGGTATACGAAATTTTTGATATTCTGTTTCATAATGTGTTTTTCATAATAGTTCAATAACTAAAAACATGTTTTTTATAATGCAGCAGAAGCTTTGAGGAATAGAGAACATCTACTTTCATCTTCAACAGAGGAACAGATAAATGAGAAGCCGTCGGAGTGAGAAAGTTAAAGGAAAAGTAAAGGTCCTTGAAACCCTCTGATGAAAATTGGAAGACACGACAAAGTTTACGACAAAGAAATATAAGAGTGTCATTCTAAATATATTTAAAAACTTTCTTTTTAAGTATTTCTTAGACTTTAAAATGTTTACTGAGTATTCTTTCCTGACAAGGAATATAAAAAGGTAATTTTACAGTTTTTTAAATATATTTTTTTGCCTATTCACTAAATCGACTTTTCAAGAAATTCCCTGTTTTTTTATTCATTTTTTCAAATGTATGAAATAATCATCTCAATATTTTACTAATTGTTTATATTATTTTTTTTTACTGTTTTCAGCTCCACCCCCTAAAACATTCCTTATAATTTTTGCCTATAGAACTCTTGGCTCTGAAATTGAAACTATTGATAATTTCTCTTTATTAACTGCAATTTTGGTTTGCTAGATAAATCTGTCCAAAGCGCTTCATGCAGATGTCATCTACGATGAGTAAGAAATTTTTCGAAATCTAGCTTTTTTTCAAATGGAGTAATAATTTGAATAAATAAATCTTGAAACTAGCACAGTTTTTGTGCACAGAAAATTTATTTTTTATGAATGTCAATGAAGCTGCCTGGACCTCCATCCTTATTTTTTTCTGCGGCTAACAGAGAGGTTCAAGGATATATTTTCGGAATGTGCATTGTCCACATACATATATATTTAGGTACTTTGTGTCACACTTATCTATGCATTAACAAACAATTAAAAACAATAGACTAGTATTTTGGTTATCTTTTTCTCAAAGCCCTTTCAATCCTATCCTACATTATATATACCGTACTTTTTTTTCAAAGTTGAACAGTTAAATATTAAACAGTTATGTTAATAGTAGCTTCAAGTTTCTTGACTTTGACTAGTTAAACTATTTTTTTTATTTGTATATAGCCAACTGGATCATCTGAATAACAAATTGAATTGAAATGAAGCAAAAATCATTCGAAGAGTTCGAAAAACTCTTTTGTATTGTGATACACAGATCCATGATTTGAACATATTTTCTTGTACTAAATATATACAATGGAATTGGGCACAAGTTCTAAAAACTTAAATCGCCCTCTCCCTACATGTACATGAAATATTATAACAGGATGTATTAAAAGTGTTCAACAGTTTGTACAAAAAAGATTACAAGTAAATTAAATAAAATCTCATTGTGGACATATATATACTGCTACATTATTGTTTATACAAATAATTTTAAAAATAAGTACAATCAGTTAAATCTACCAGAATGCTGAATATAAGAATGTACAATAGAAAATAGCTATTCAAGTTCAGCAATACTGAGTGATGTATCCCCCGTGAGTAAAATCTGAATGTCAACAATATGGACTTTATTATTCTCAAGAAGGTATCGAAAAACTCTTTCAAGACCTCGTTGCAGTTAGGACACAAGGAAAAATAATGATGTGTATCTTCTACCTTACCGCAGGAGAATAGTGGGCTAGATATTATATTACATCTATAAAGATCCATGTACGAATATAAGTCATTGTTTATAATACTTCTACCTGCTTCATTGATTGATGTTGAATTTCTTTCTTCATTTGTAAATTCCTATAGTGTTTTTGCTAAACTAAATTTTATTTACAAAACAGGACTACAATTTGTTCTTCATTAATTTGACGCAAAATTAATAAATTCTCAATTTCATTGTCAAAGGTACCCTAACAAAAAGTACTATAGTTATCTTAAGTTTACAGTAGTTGAATATTATAACAGAAAATCAAACTTCCCATTTAAAATATAAATTTAAATTATTTTAACTTTGAATTTCAGATTGTCATATTTTATCTTTAATAATTAAATTCCCACGCACATCTTTTTTTCTATTAAATCAAAATAGTACTTGTCAGTCGTTTTCTATAAAAGACAAATACGATTTTAAATGTGAAATATCAGCAAGCAATTATGTGACCAGGTTTGTGAAGTTAAGATATTTTATTTTTTACAAAAACAGGCCTGTATGAAGCAAGTTCAGTCGGGGGTTGGTACAGTCAAATATCATTAGTTAAAGTTTATAGCGATTGAAGTTGTTTTGAACAACAATTCCTTAACGAGTGAAAAAGTTTTCAGACAGTATAATTTAGGGAACATGCGACTTAAGAATCCTTGATTCTATAGCATACAAAAATTAATATACAGCTGTTAAGGAAATATCATCATGTACAACCCAATTCACCCTCAGCTCTACCAGTATGCCGGACACTTTTGAAAAAAAAATATATTCGTGACGAAAATAATATTTGTATAAAGAATGCATTGTTGCAACCACTATTGATATAACGACCCCTATTGAAATAATTATAGTGGTTGAGAGTGCATTTCAATAGCAAACGTAGTTAGTAACCACTATTGAAATACGACCACTATTGAAATAATTATATCAATAGTGGTTGAGAGTGTATTTCAATAGCAAACATGGTTAGTAACCACTATTGAAATACGATCACTATTGAAATAATTATATAAATAGTGGTTGAGAATGCATTTCAATAGCAAACATAGTGAGTAACCACTATTGAAATACAACCACTATTGAAATAATTATATCAATAGTCGTTCAAAGTGTATTACAATAACAAACATAGGTAATAACCTCTATTGAAATACGCGTTACGACCACTATTGAAATAATTATTTCAATAGTGGGTGCGAGTGCATTTGAATATAATAACCATAGGTTTCAACCACTGCTGAAATACGAGCACTACTAAAATAATTATTTAATAGTGGGTGACAGTGCATTTCAATATGGTAATCATAGGTTTCAACCACTATTGAAATACTACCAGTATTGAAAGAAAAGTTTCACCGCGTCATAAAATTTTGAAATAATTATGTAGATATATATTGGATTCATTGTTCAATGCACTATTGAAATCAATAATTTAATCCATATTAAAATCTTTATTTCAAAAGAGAACATTATTTCAATAGAGGTTGCAAACTATGTTTGTTATTGAAATGAATCTAACCCACTAGTGAAATAAGTATTTCAAAACCAGTCGTATTTTAATAGTGGTTACTATCTATGTTTGTTATTGAAATGCACTCTCACCCACTATTACAATAGTGGTGTATTTCAATAGTGTTTATTACCAATGTTCGTTATTGAAATGCACTCTCAACCACTATTGATATAATTATTTCAATAGTGGTCGTATTTCAAAAGTGGTAATTACCTATGTTCGTTATTGAAATGCACTCTCAACCACTATTGATATAATTATTTCAATAGTGGTTGTATTTCAATAGTGGTTATTAACTATGTTCGTTATTGAAATGCACTCTCAACCACTTATGATATAATTATTTCAATAGTGGTTGTATTTCAACAGTGGTTATTAACTATGTTTGTTATTGAAATGCACTCTCAACCACTATTGATATAATTATTTCAATAGTGGTCGTTATTTCAATAGTGGTTGCAACAATGCATGTTTTAATGAAAAGTACTCAGTATTTCTTATTCAGCTATACATGTGTATATTTGTAGATATAAAATTGATTTGAATGAAATTGGGAGTGAATTTTTTCTTGATTTAAATTACC